AAAAGTGGTTTAAACCACCACAACCTTTAAAGGTTGTCTAATCCAACCCCCTAGAAAAAAAATCATGAAGCAGACTTAGAGGGGTGGTGTGTACTGTTGTACAATTGACATCAGGGTGGCATTCTCTTATTTAACTTCCACTTAGCTGGACTTGAGCCTTAAGCCTTTTTTCAGGTTTGACTAAAGGGTAAATAGTCTGGTAATCGCTTACAAATACATCTAATTTTGTTGACGCTTGTTAGATACAGCTGCTCTCAGTAGCTTGGAAAAAGGACCTGAATTCTATGTGAAAGGGGCCCTGGTTGGTGTGGCTGTTTAAAACCCGCTGGAATTTATCTCTGTGAAAGAGAAACATCAGTATTACTGTAATATTTTCTGGGAAAACACAGACATTGTGAGGAGACGACAGTAAAGATTGGGCAGAGTGGGCATAATGAAGAAGTTGTGTTCTGGTTTGAATTACAGAGTTTAGTTGTGCTGTGTAGATGTATCTTGATGTGGACTTTGTGGAGGGGCTCAGAAGCTGTACTGTTGTCTAAAACAACTGTTCTAGTGACTTGTGCAGCATAATGAAGTCATGAGGTTCTGCCTGTGTTGAAGAAGTAGCTTTGGTTATGTTTCCTTTACGTGGTCTTTGACTGGCAGTATTAACTAGCTTGGTGTGAATGCTCCAGAAGTAAGAACTATGATTACAGTGATCCTTGCATGCTCTTTCCCCCTCAGCCTATGCAGGACAGACAGAGCTATCTGTTGGTAGATAGAGGGGATTCAAGGACCCCTCTCAGTACCCTTGCTGTGATTTGGCTAATGCCAGACGTGTTCATTTTTTACGTTCCCTTAGATTCTCTGTCTTCTGCTGTCTCTCTGTTGTGTTTTGTTTGGTGTTTTGTTTGTTTTTGTTTTTTTTTTTTTCCCCTGTCCTTGTCTTCACAAGTGACCCAGCTTTTTCTTTCATTTCTGCTGCCTGTGGATGCCATGGCCTCAGAGGCAGGTAGTTGCTACTTGTGCTGGCAGGTGGAAAAGGCCATATAACCACAGGAGGCAGGAGCCATCCTACCTCAGATGACCTGAACTCTAGTGCCGAGCCTTGCCATGGCACACAGACTTGCGTGGTGGTTAGTGGAGTGAGAAGGGGTGGCTATAAAGCTCTGTAAGGCAGATGGGATGAATTGTTCTTGGAAAGCGCCTGTCTCTCCTTACAGACTGTAAAAGGAATCTTCCTTTGCAGGAAGCTGCCTTTGACTACAGGAACTGTCCTCAACTGTTTTCTGTTAAGGAAATTTTAGGAAGTCCTAAAATGTTTCTTATGAGAGATGCCCAGTAGACATGGGATAGTATCAATGCAGTGATGAGGGGGCTGGTAGTACCATGGTTCTGGTCGCTGATTCTTGAGAAGGGAGTATCCTAGTTGCAGAGGGAGTTTCCTGATGGTGAGCTAGAGAGCCTGGCTTGTCAAAGGAAGCAGGAGAGTATGGCAGGGTTTATCTACGAGATGTGCCTTCCACCAGCATAAAGGAGGAGCTGGAAGAATGATGCTAACGCGGGTGGCCCAAGGCACTTACCTGTAAGCTCTTTACAGACCAGTTTATTCTAGAAAGTAACATGTTGTGAATGATGCAGGACTGAACTCTGGGGTAGCTTATGCAGTCGGAGGGTGGCAAAAAAATAACTTTTTTTTTTTTGGGGGGTGAGGGATGTCAGGGGGAATTTTGGAGATTACAGGCTTTTGTTGCCTCCTATAATCAGGGGATTTATCTCCATATATTTTGAAGTACATTGATACAGAAGTCTTAATTAACAGTGATTTCTGACTTGCTTTAATGTTGGTTTAACAAATTTAAAAACCCAATGGTTTAGTTCTGTACAATGTTCACGTCTTTCTACCTGATCTACTGTCTGAAACCAAACCAAACCATGGCTATTTCACTTTGGTTTAGGTTTAGTCTTCTCCATCCTTATTAGGAAGGCTTGTGCCCTTGATGACTTAAATCTGATTATTCCCTTGAGGTACAGTGATTTGCATTATTTAAAAAAAATACCTATTTGCAGTCTCATTTTGTATCTCATTAATTATCAGTTAGGTTAGTGACAGCACTGATAATTACAGAAGAAAATAATTACCCAACATTTTATTACCTAGGTGCTAGGTGGTGGTTTGTTTTTTTTGTGGTTGTTGGTTTTTTGGTTGGTGTTTTTTGTGTTTTGTTTTGTTTTTTTCATTCCTTCATCTATTGTTTTTGGTAATGAAGAACTTGTTAGGTCAAGCTTTTGTTACAGTAGTGAGTGGACACTTCAATATTCTGCTCCATCAATTTTGGCAATTTCTTGAAATGCTATGTGATGCTAATCAGTATAGGATTGAATGCTGAACTATTTTATTGGGTTATGTTGTATCCTCCTTTGGAAGAACTGTAAAGATAAAATAGTTCTATGTGGGCTTAAGTGACCTGGGAGATAAATAAATTGTTCATACTTGTTGCTTTATCTTGCATACCTAGTATGTCATTTTGGATGGGATTGGAAGTGTGTTTTTCGTCTTAGAAGAATAAAACTCAGTATTAAAGTAGACGTCGTATGCTGTGAGAACTTTGTTAATGGTTGGATTTTGTGGTTACACTCAGCAGTGTTTCTGCTGTTTTGTTTGTCTTCAGGAGATACTTTCAGCAAGGCAGACAACATACTGGGAAAGAGGTTTGCTTGATGAGATCTAATAATTGAATCACCTGCTGGTTAGATCTTAATAACTTTCTTCTTTTTCCCTTCCTCCCTGATGTTTTTTTTTTTTTTCTCCTTGGTCTTCAGGTTGTGGATCTGTTCTGAATGAAAAAGGTGAAGTAGAAATGGATGCCATTATCATGGATGGAAGAAATCTAGACTCTGGAGCAGTATCTGCAGTTAAATGTATAGCAAACCCCATAAAACTCGCTCGGCTTGTCATGGAAAAGGTATGCTGCGTAGCTGCTTGGGTGTGAAGCGTCTTTTCCCTTAGAACTTCATCCAGTGTATTGATGCATCTCAGAGATGATGTCTGTGTAGTGCTTTAATGTAGGAAGGAAGGGAGAAGTGGGTGGTAGTGTTTAGAAACTGTGCTCATGACAAAGAACTTTTATTTTAAGGGTTTTTGAGAGGTATTTGTTAAAAATAGTATTTTAAGGAGAACTAAGTTCTGTTTTGCAATTGGAAGCTTGAGGAGAAATTGACCTACACATGTCAATCCCCTGTGTAGCTGCACAGGTGGTGTTCAAGATTTTAGGGGTTTGTTGTTCACTTGCTTTTCTGAGGAGTTTTTTTGCTATCAGTGAGTCTTCTGCTTGATCTTTCAAGAAGAAAGTTGAATAACATACTGTTGACTTTGCAAGGACATGGAACTGAATTCAGTGACCCAGTACGTACTTGGCCGTGTAACAGTCTCATATTGTTCTACGTAGCCTTCTCCACTGTGGCCTAATCAGATGGTAGACTTAGAGGAAAGTCGTGGTCTTCCAGCAGCAGAAGATAACATTAGCACTCTGTGATGCTGGCAGATTTTCCAAGAGAATCCAGTTTACCAGGGCAGCAAAATGTTTATTACTTAACCTTCTATGTAAAATCAGTCCCAGCTTACTCCACTAAGAAGTCCCTCTAATATCTGCCACAGTAGACTTCTCTCATTTATCAGAAATGGTGCAACTGGTATGGCTCAGGATGGAGTACGTCACTTGTGTGACGCGTGCATCTCTCTTACCATTACTAGACAGTGACAGCGATCAGAAAGTTTGTATTGTCTCTAGAATTTACATTTTTCATCCTGCTAGCACAGGTGCCCCATTGTTGAAAAGGGTTATTTACAAAATCACTGATTAGCAGAGAGGATTTATGTTTTTTAACCTTTCAAAGTGACTTTTGAGCAAACAAAACCTCTTGGTGATCTATAAAGATGATTGGAATGTAGTTTGTCCTCAGTAGCCTCCAAAGAAGACAAATTATTTTTATCCTTAAGGGGAGGATAGTTCTGCTTTTAAAATCAGAACATTTCACTAAGTTAATATAAATACTTAAGTGAAATGTATGTCTACTACAAAACAACATTAAAACTTGTCTTGAATAAGCTTTTTGCCCCCCTTCATATGGGTTTTATTCTGTCGTTTAGCTACAATAAATAAGTATAGCTGGAAGACAGCTTCACAAGACCAAATTTTTCAAAATTTGAGAATGTAGGTGGAGCACTGGGGGAGAGATGTCTTCATGTTGCGTGAAATGTCGTGTGGTTGGATTTTTTTTTTTAGCTCTCTAGATAACTACTTTGAAGGTCTATTGTTCAGTTCATATTCCAGAATCATTGATTTTTTTTCTTTTTTTGGTTTGTTTTCTGCTATCTTCTCCATGACAAAATCCTATTTAAGTCAACAAAAATAAAGTCGAAACAGCACTGTTGGGTTAGTGTTTTTATAAAACACCTAACTTCACAAGGTGTTTTATAAAAAATAAAGCAAAAGAAACAAACCAAAAAACTTCTCCCTTGTCTTTCTTGTGTAGTATGAAGTCTTTCTCATCGTTGTGAGGTGCTTCTGGTGTTCAAACATTTTAAGGCTAAATTTGAAAGGGAATAATAAAATTCAGCTGTACAGGAACAAGTATAATGGTGTAGCCTTAAACCCATGAAATTTTGTGTTAGATTACTCTTTGTCCAGATGCAGAAAACTTTTGTGTAGATGACAAAGTTCAAATGTAAATGTTGGCCTAAATTACTCAGTGCATATTGAGGTGAGTTTCTGCTGGTTTTCTGTCAGGTATTGTAAATGGGAACGCCAAATGATGTTATTCTTCTGTTCAACTTGGACAGGAATTTTGGGATGTCAACCCAGGCTATTTCACAGCACATTTTAGAGTGTGTTCTGTTTTGTTTCACTGTGCATAATTAAAACTATTTTTGACTCTGACCCGTGAGTAATAGGACTGTAGTTTTCCTGGTGTCCTAAGCATGTTAGGATTCTTATTCCCCAGTGGTTTTTGGGGTGCCTCACTGCCTTGAGAATTTTGAAACATGCAGCTCCCAAACCCAAACAAACTATCCAAAAATACCCTCCCCACCTGCTTGTGATGTTCTGTATTTCTGTGAGTGTTGTGGAACAATGTGGGCTCCATCTGGTGGCCAAAGTAGCTCATCTAGGCTGTGCACTTTCATCCTGTGCACTGTCACATTCACACTGGGCTCAAACTTGTCCAAATTCATGTCACACAGAAGAAAGGAGGACACCAGAAGAATTTTAATTTGTGATTTACTGTGATATCAAACACAGCAGCCTCCAGAAGTGGAAGGTTTTTAGTACATTAACTCATTCAACAAATCCTTGAGAAAGCAGTTAATTGTAGTTGGATTATTCCTGTTTGTAGTGGAAAAAAAAAAAGAATGATACATTTTTTTCTATTTATCCTTTTTAAAATTATTTTTAAGTGAGGCACGTAAAGATGCTCGAACAGTTGTGACCAATCGAGCACTGATTCACTGCTATATGTGAACTGTGTGTATGTTTTCCTCTACTGTGTCATCCAGCCCTTTACATTAGGCAAAGGAGAATTGAGCTTAGAATAAAGACTTCTTGAGGCAAAGGTGCAAATTGTTGCTGTGCTCTATGCACTGACAAAACTGTTAAATAAAGAACAGTGGTGGTCTGAATTTTAGGCCAGCTGCAGAAATTTAGGGAATTTTCCCTTCCTTGTTTCCCATGAAATGAGCTAAACTTGCCAACATTTGCTGTTTGTCAGTAAGATCTCTGGAACTCTTTCTCCTCTCCCCCCCCCTTTTTGGATTACTTCATATAAATATGTCCCAGAAAAACTAGGCACTTAAAGTTACCAAACATACTTATGAAGCTGTAGAAAAAGGATGAGACAGAAGAATGTGCTTTTGGATTGTTTGGAAATGTACTTGTACCTCTCTTGATCCACAAGACATATTGAAGAGAAAAGCAAATCAAATTCTCTTTAAGATACATTCTTTTCAGCGAAGGTTGGAAAAAAAAAAAAACAAAACACAAAACCCTACCCCCTATCATAGAAGCTTATTCCTCTATTTGCAAGTATTTCTTGTTTGTGCAGCTTAGTAAGGTGGGTGTTGTCAAAATATGCATATGGGAGAGAACCCTTTGTAAAAGAGTTGAGAGAAACATCTTCCATTCTTTACATTAAAACTGTTGTCCTTTAATTTTTTTTTAAAATAGATTCTTAATTGCTGAAGAAGGCAAGTGATGGAGGACACACTGACAGATAAAATCAAAACAAAATTTTTATGTATTTTCTAAAAAAAAAATACATAAAAAAGCCCCACCCCAAACCAACAACCAAAACACAACCAAAACACCACCGCCCCCACCCACCCCCAGACCAGTTTGAATGACTGGGTTGTTTCTGGTGGTTTAGAGGCAGAGGGGGGCAGTATTGCACAAGGGAGTTGGCTTTGAAGTCGAAGAACACCAGCTTTGTAAGCAGCAGGTAGGTCTTCTATTGTCTGGTCACTTCACTTGGCATGTAATCCCATTGCCCACTCTTTCAGGAATGCAGAGGGCTTTTTTGCTAGGCAACTATTGTTCCCTAAAGCAATGCTCTCAGGAATTGAGGAAGTAATTTGTCAATAAAAAGGCATTTGAGTTTTCAAAAATGTCAAGGCCATGCCATCAGGAATGCTTAGAAAGTGTAGTCACGTTGATGAGCAATTAACATCTGTGTAGTGATCCAGGAAGTTGATGCTTATTTTTAGACACAGATTAAAGAAAATATTCTGATTTTAGAGCTCCTACTAAAGTGTAAGGATTAATGAAAGAAATTTATATGGCAAGTTTCTCTAAAATACGAATTAACCAAGCTCTGCAGACTGAAGCATGGATTTAACTAAGGTTATTGCCTTAAAGTCTGGTCTAAGTGCTTTGCTAAATTAAGGAATCAAGGTAGAGCTTGTGCAAGTGTTGTTAGAAGACAGCAAACATTTTTGGTCAAACCCAGTTGAACAGTATTCTGTTCTTAAATTTGAAATTCTGGGTCTATAAGAGTAAGAGCTAGTTGAAGGAAATATGTAAAACAGTTCAGCTGATGTTAAACACTTTACTGTGTGATGTTTACATTTTTTTTGTTATCTTACTCTTATAAGGTGTAATACTGTCAAAAAGAACAGGAATTTATTTCCCGTTTTTCCCTTCTGAATAAAATCCTTCAGGATCTCTTAGTGAACTGGATAAAACAGTTAAGCAGTGATTTGCTTATTGACAGGTAACAGTACAAAGAAGTTGCATCAAATTAGAAAAACAGCAAATCTGCCATTTTTTTCCTCTACCAGTATAATCAGTACTAAATAGGTAAATGCAATTCTTTTCTACTATTGATGGAATTCTGCATTATGAAGAGCTGAAAATGTTTACAACTAGTGGAAGAGGATGTAGGCATAGAAATCCAGAAAGTTCAAAAATAAAACAAATTTTGGAATTGTCTTTGTGTGGCTATTTATAAAAGTAAAGAGTGATTATGCAAAACTGTAGCAGTACAAGGCAAGACAGGAATTGTCAATTAATCTCTCCTTGTCTGTCTCCTGCAGACGAAGCACATGCTGCTGACTGACCGTGGTGCACAACTGTTTGCTCAGGCCATGGGTGTTCCTGAGACTCCAGGGGAGAAACTCATAACCGAGAGATCCCGGGAGAGATGGAAGAAGAACCTTGAGCCAGATTCCAACCCTGAGGAGTTTCAGAAGTAGGGGTTTTGTAAAATACTTTTTCTTTCTAAATTCAAGGTAATTCCGTTTGTGCTGTCAGTTAAAAAACAAACAAAAAAACCCACCCCAAAAACCAACAAAGAAAGCTCAGACGTCTGTATTCAGACTTGAGAATACTTCAGTTCCAAGCGTTGTGTGGTTTCGTGCAGTCTTCACAGTGTGCTCTCAGGGAAAAAAACAAGTTTTCAATGGATTTGCTCAAGTGTAAGTGACTGGAACAAACTTGAACAAACTTGTTTATGCTTAAGATGATGTCAGTCCTGTTGATATAGCATAGGTTTTGTGGCATTAATGGAGGACAAACTTAGAACTTATTACCACTCTAAAAGTCACTATTTACAGAAGTGCACAGAGGAGCTTTAACAAACACCAGGCCTCACATTGTACAGTTCTTTTCCATGGAGGAACTATCACTTTAAAAAAATATCAGTCTACGTTTTAAAAACAAGTCCATGAAAAAACGAAAATTGATAAATCTGATCTTGGCTAAATAAATGATCAGATTTGTCTTTAAACTGGATTAGGTAGTTGAATAACATCAGGTTTTGCCCAATACCTCCTTCGGAGTGCTGTTTGTGGCTGTTGGTTATTGTTGATAGGAAAGAAAAGATTGACCAAGCCATTCAGTGTAGTGGTGAGTGTGAAAAAAAAGATGGTACTGAATGGTACTGCACATCAGAAAAATAAAAGTAATTTGAAAAATAAGTCTCATGTAAAATACAGAGGAAGGTGAGGTGGATGGGAAAGAAAGGAAAATCATCAGGTGTCAGAAGTGTTTTTTTATGCCTGTGAGGTAAGCATAAATACTAAATCGTTTTGAGTTTCTACTTGCACATTAATGGTTGTGGCATAGGAAAAAAACTGTATTACATTACATAAAGGTTGTATTACATGGTGTTCATCTCTTCTGTAAAATAGCAATAATGAGAGAAATGGAGCTGAAGAATTTGTAGATCAAAAGGAGGAAATTTCTTCTGTGGGCTTGTTAATTAAAGTCCATGAAATGAGGCTATGAAACACAGTATGTTACTTCCAGTAAATTACTGGAAGGAAAAACAAATTTGTGAGTCAAGTATAAATATGGTCTTAAAAACAAAGTGAAGTTGTTCCTCAACCATAAGTTTTCAGTTATAGTTCATCTTATATCCAGCAGAAGTTTTCTTATGATCCATGGTCTATCCAAGGACTGTGTGGTATAATTGATTACAGAGAATTTTGAGGGTGGCTTAGCAGCCCCTACTGCCACTTGGTGTCCTGAATCTGTCAGTTGGAATGTCATGTCATTTGGGTCTCCATTCCTTATAAGTACTTAATTTTTTTTTTTTTTTTTGTTATAATTGTGTTCGACATCTTCAATTTGAGCATTGTCTTGTTCTGGAGTATCTGATAGTAGAAGGCTTGTGTATTTCTGAAAGGCTCAGAACTTCTCCTTGTCTTAGCCAAGCTGTTCTTTTTCTGACGAGTGCCTCAAACATCTGCCCCAGTTCATGAAGTTGAAAACGCTTCTTTTTTTCATGCTTGCCCATTTGTTCCTGTATCACAAGTGGAATGTTCTTTTTCCCTGTTATGTCCACAGTGATTATGCAGGAACTTGCCTGAGGCAAACAGACAGAAGTTGAAGTAGTGTTAGTCAGAGGCAACATTATACCAGATCATACTGGGAATTTGAAAGTTGGTGTGTACTTTTTTTCCAGTCCTCTGGTCTTAACAATGTTGGAAACCTTGAGGGTGCGCAGCTTTCCAAGCACAGCTTGGTGTCTCCAGAAGAGAGACCTTTCTCTTCTGCTGGTTGGAAGCCTGCATTGATTTTTGTTGAAAGCTTGCAGTTCCATCACGCCTGCCTCATGGTATTTGGTACACCTTTTGCTGAGAATAAGGTGTGGTTTGTTTTATCTTCAGTCTCACTCTAGAGATTCTGATTATACCTTTGTCAAGAATTGCTGGAGATGGCTCGAGAACCCCACAGAAAGGGAGTTGAGTCCAGCCATAAGGTGGTAGGTGGACTGCTAGCTCCTCTGTGAATCACAGTGCAGGAGTAACCAGAGGAGTTGTTACTTAACAAAGACTCTGATAGCAATTGACAGAAACCCTACTACTGGTGCCAGGGTAAGAGACAAAATAGCAGATGCCTTATTGTTTGAATGAGGATAAAATAAGCTCATGTAACTTAGGGGTACTGGATAAGGGCAGATTTAGACAAAAGGGAGTGAACAAATCCAAGCAATCCCTTCTGTGTCACAGTGTGTGCAGTACAGAAGAATAATTCTTGACTGAACAAAATCATTACTACTAATAGCATCCTCTGGTATGCTGCAGGCCCTTGTTGAAGTTCTTGTGCTGTCACTAACTAACAATAGAGACATGATTATAATACAATATCTCTACTTAATTTTGCCTGCCTTGGTAAAGTTTCTGAGTCAACTAAGTATGCAACAGATTGTTTATATTGTCTTTGCCTTTGTTCCAAAGATGAACAAAGAAAACATGTGACACTGAAGGAATAAAAAAGTGTCAAGGGGCAGTAAGAAGTAAGAGTGTAGTTATTTGCTGCACCACAGATAAGGCGTGTTGGACACATTCACTCTGGACTTTGTTGCCAGTTGAGCTCTTGCACTAAAAAAAAAAGCTGCTGCCTGCGTGACCTGCGTACCTTCATTATTCTCACAGTTACTGAAGGTAAATACATTCCTAGGGAAAGTACATCTGGATGCACCTTTCCTAATTTCTCACGATGATCTAAATTGGGTTGGTCGAAGGGTGCCACATGAGTGCAAGGGAGTACTGAATTTATTAATATTCTTTTCAGCAAATCCTTTGTAACAGATGGATGGGTGGGAAGCCCATCTGCATCATCATATCAGTTTGAGATGAGGTCCCTCTCCACATAAATGTCAGAGCAGTTTGTAAGGCCTGTGATTCATCAGTCAACTTTGAATTGCTGTGAATGGAGTTTAGAGACTGACAGCATGATGCTTTACATAAGCAGGAGGGAACAGGCACTTGGTTCTCTGGGAGGTTGACCGTGGGTTTCATGGTACACGACGACTTTGTCTGACTTAAATTATATTAGATTTTGTGAGGCTATAGAGAGACCCTCACCAGTGCTGAGGAACCTTCCAAAGGTATTCCTGTTCGAGTCACCTGCTGGGCAATTCCTTGAAAGATTGTTAGAAGTTCTTTTCCTGTCTGGAGGGATTTCGATTTTTTGGTATATCGCGCCTAGCCAGATCCTGATTTATGCTTCTGTGAGAATTGCCACGACTGGAATACGTGGACAGTCAAACTCTTGCTTCTCGATAATGCCTTGCTTCTCTGTGCAGCAACTGGTCGAGTAACTTACAATAGCCTTTTTTTTTTTCCTCTGAGTACATATGTACATTTTAAGCAGCCTATTATACGTGACTTTTCTGTGCTGAAGAAACGAAGCAGTAGTTGAGGCTTCTGTTTTCTTCAGCGCGTGAAGATTTTAATCTGATGTGTGGTTTCAACAGATTCTACTGGTGAAGTGATTTAAACCTCAGGATTGCAGAGCTACAGAGGACAAAGACAAAACACGTATTAATGATGCATTGTGAACAATGCTAGTTGAAAAGCACATAAATAACTTTTTTTTTTTTTTGTGACGTTCAAACATTTAGTGGAATAAGGAAGAGGAAAGAGGAGGAACAGGAAGGAAATGATTCAGTGCCTGCATAACATTACTGTCCTTTTCTGCATTCACTCACTTACGTGCATTGTCATTAATAATCCTGGTTAACCTCCTGTTGAGACATGGGGGACAATTCTTGCATCTTTGAGTTGCTGTTTAGGGGCAGGTTGTGTATCAGGTGTGTCACAACCCAAAATAAAACTACTCCAGAACTATGACAGCTGGAAATATTTCTGTCCTGTGTGCTTTTGTTTTGTGTGTTCCTGAAGTCAAATTTTCCATATTATGGAAATAAGTCATGGAGGGGAGATTTAAAAAAAAAAAATTGAGAATTTTTGACTCTATAAATGTATGAGAACTGTTGCATATTGCTTGGGGGTTTTTTTTTGTAATGAGAAGCATGGTAAAAAAATAGCTTTATGATGAGCAATAATATTTTTGCAATAATATCTTTTAGAGCTACCTGGAAAATATATGCAACGTGCTTTGGCAGGTATGCTTTAATTCTACCTGGTTTTGCGAACTGTTTTTGTTGGCAGAGACCTTGGAACAGTCGGTGCTGTTGCTATAGACAGTGAAGGAAATGTAGCTTGTGCAACATCCACTGGAGGACTCTCTAACAAGCTGATTGGCCGTGTTGGTGACACAGCGTGCATAGGTATGGGGGGTAGGGTCTTGCTTCTCATTTGAAGAGGAAAACCAAAAGGTATTACACATTCTGCTTTTCATTAGCAAAGCGAAACATAAATCCTGGTACATCTGAAATGGAGGTCTCACATTCAGATGTGTCAAGTCTCAAGCTCCTTAACACAACATGAAGATTACAAGTAAGGATTGGGAGTAGAAGCATAGCGTCAGTGTTAGCATGCAACACTTTTCTGTCCAGAAAATGGGGATGGGAATTTCTTTTTTCTGTCCTTTCCTGAATGCTATTTTTTTTCCCCCCATTTCCTTTCCGTTGATTCTCATGAAGGCCTCTTTTTGTGCATCCACGCTTACAGCCAAGTCAAAAAACTGTGACCTGTTGCATACTCAGGTGCTGTTTGCTTGATACATAAGAGAGTAGATGTAATTGTAATCACTGTTCATTTTATCAGTGAGCCAGAACTGTAAAATGACTGTCTGCTTTGAGTAAATTCCTGACCAGAGAGAGCCCTACCTCAGAGCCTAATAGATGCGGTGTGGAATAAAGGAAATATTTTAAGAGATCTCTTATCCAAGTATAAAGAGACACTTGAAATCCTTTCCCCAGATGTCTTCCTCTCATGGGACAGACGTGCTGTTTGATTGCTTCAGGGTTCTGCCATACAGTTGGGATTTAGAAAAGAATTATTTTTAGTAAAACATGTTCCAAACACAAATAGCACTGCTGTTGGCAGTACATGAGTGTTATAAAACTTACTAACTTTCTCTCGCACCCTGAGTTGCTAATATTTTGGTACCCTCTGCTTTTTGAGTATGATTTTCAGCTTCGTTGCAAACTGCAGCCTTCTGCCTGCAAACACCCTTCTCTCACGTAGGTCACGTTCAGGGCCCCTATGGTGTGGGACATAGGTCTGTGAAGGACAAGTGAAACTGGGCGGTATTGAGTGTATCGCTGGCAACTTTTGCCCTTACTAAACATCTCCAGGATTGGTTACAGAAACCCTGTCTGCCCTTTTGGATATTAGGGCCTTTTGAAAAGGGGCTTTGACAGACTGATTGTAGCGGTGTTTTTTCTATGTAGAAATTTGGGTCCATTGGAAGAGTCTGATCTGATCAAGAAAGTACAGAAGGAAAGAAACTTTCATTGACCTTTCATGCCTCTCTCTCCTCCACCAGTGCCTTGTTTATAATGCTGTGGTATGTTCCTCCCCAGCTTCTGGGAGATAGTTCTCTTAGGAGATGTGCTACAAACATGGGTGTTGTACACACAGCAGCTTGGTGGAGAACATGGTGTGGAATGTGCCAGCGAAACAAGGATGGGAGGGAAACTAGAAAAGAGGGGGATGGCTTCAAAGAAGAAACTCTCTGCTTATGGTGGGGACTTTCTAGACTCTCCAGGGGTGCTTCATGATACTTCACTGGACCCCAGGCTCTTCTTACTGGTTTTGCTCTTGTGGATATGTTCCCCTCAAACTTTGGTCAATTGGCTAATGTCCTCACAAGAACTTCCTTCATATCTTCTCAATTGGTAATGTTGTGTGACCTGGCATTCCATATCCCATAACTCTCTTGCTGATCCTTAGGACACCATCCCTTGCTGTTCTGTGGCCTGCTGCTGGTGCCACAAGCAGATTGCTAGTCTTCTAGCTCTTTCAGCTTGGCAACTGACTTGGTTCAGCTGTTGTTGATCTCTTTCATATATTTTACTTCTCAAACTGAGGCAGTAATGAGAAAGACATTTGTTACTGACACTTTGCTCCCAGGAAGTGCACAGAACTGCCAGGGCTTTAGTAAGAAATGTTCAATACTTACTTTAAACAATGCAGAGCTTGCAAATTGTCTTACAGAACATTGCCTTCTTTTTTCCTCCCCTCTGCAAAGGAAGCGGAGGTTATGCTGATAACCGTTCTGGTGCCACGTCAACCACAGGGCACGGGGAGAGCATTATGAAAGTGGTCTTAGCCCGGCTGATCCTCTATCACATGGAGCAAGGTATATTCCAGACTTCCTGTAAGCTGAAATAACGAGGGTAGGAAATGTTGCCTAAGGGCAGGTTTCAGTTTGTGTTCTGTCGTCCTAGAAGAGCTGTCAGAAGAGTTGCTCCCAGGGGCATGTGGATGGGTCACCTCCCTGTAAAAAGAAAACAAAGTACTAAAGTATTAATAAAGCTAAGAGAGCCTTAAGTGGACAAATATCTATGCTGCTTGACGTTTAATCATCCTTTAGATCAGTGTACATTTGAAAGACATTGTCTCCTTTTTTTAAGTCCTCTTTAATATTTTTTTTCCCAATTTTAAACTAAAATTTTAGGAATAAAGAAATAGAAAACAAGTAAAAGCAAGATATATTTAAGGAAGCAGTAGAGGAGGGCTAGAGATAGATAATCAGATCTAATGTAAGAAAGCATAGGATATCACCTTTCTAATAAACTGTACAGATCTTTTTTTAAACAACAGATTATAGCAACAGAAATGCTTTTCAGACGTTTTAACTATGATTTAAATTTTTTGTTTTGGAAAATACACTGAACAGGCTGGGTGGGTATGTGGTTAACAGCTGACACAGTATGTCTTATGTGACTGTAATATAATCTGACTGTGGGTTGATCCGTTGGAGCTTTACCTTTGTGAGTTAGTCTGTCATCCATACCCTTGATTATATTACAGCCTGTAAACATAGCCAGGCAACATGCTTGTATTGCATGAAGCTGAAGAACCATTAATATAGATATCACCATTATTTTTAGAAAGCCATAGCTTTTGGGCACTTTCTTAACTTACACTGTAACTTGGTTTGAGATCAACCAAACTGGAAACTGTTGGAAAACTTTAAATTTACATTTTCATTGGAGAAGCAGTAAGTAGAGAGACAAGTAACAGCTGAGCATATTTTTGTTACACTCTATAGAGCTGTTTGCATATAATGGGTGCATTTCTCTGTAAATCTCTTGCCTAATGTAGTAGATTCAGCATAAAATGAAATGCACAGATGATTCCCCAAACCTCTAACAGATTATGGTCTCCCCTCACTGTTAGTATTCTGTCCCTAGCTGTTTAATTTGTGAATGGCCTTCTAAGCTTTTATTTAGCCCAAACTCCCCAGTTTCTTCTCTGGCTTGAAATTAACTGCATTGCAAAACCTATGCACTGAAAGCAGTTATCTGGCTTGTGATAAATCATCATGAAAGGCAAATGAGGCTCAAATTAAAGAGTTGGTGTTTTTGTTTTTTTTTTTTTAAAAAAAAAAAGAGGAAAAGGAACGTGAACCCACGTGTGTGCATTTTCAATTGGTTTGCACTTGTTCGCCCTGCCCGCGCTTGCTCTGCCTTCATTCATCCTGCCAGAAGTATAACTCAGCTGCCAGGAAAATACGTCAGCAATAGGCTTCTTTCCCCCCCTCCCTGCACATTTCCACGAAGGTGCTGGAAACAAACCCTCAAGCTGCTATAACTTTTGAGTCCTCGAATGGTCAAATGAAGATGCATATTTACGAATGACTGTAGAGTTTTTCCTAGTTCTGTTCAGTTCTTCAATAGTTCACATAGTAAATATCTTTTTTTGGACCACTGCTGCAAAATTGACTTTCATGTTTCAGGAGCGAACTGCTTTGCTGGTCTTAACAGCTGTTGGAATCTTTGTCTTACGATGGCAGCTGTTGTCTTGACAAAAAAAAAATCAAACAGTGAAATACTGACCCTTTGAAGGCAGTGCCACTGACTTGAATAGTCACAGTGTCACACGTAACATCACAGAAAGGAGCTTTATCCTGTCAGTCACCAGTTCTGTGAATAATTCTGACTCTGTTGGTTTTGTTTGGTTTTAACTCAGAAGTTGCAGGGAAGGCATGAAGGTCAGTTTCTGTTCTGCAAGCTAAGCTGCATAACTTTACTGTTGTTGGATATATCTCGGAACAATTCGGCTGAGCCAACTGCATCCAGCTGCGTTCCTGAATATATATTCAAACTTGTAGTGAACAAATATTCTGCAGTTATTACAAGCCTGTGTGTATGATGTCCACAGGAACTTGGATTTATTTAGAAAACATTCCTGTTAAGATGAATTAAGTGTAATGAGAAGATAAAGTTGGTTGGCTGATCCTTTCTCTGCTGTCTAGTACATGGAGTTCTCATCTCGCCTGGTCCTTTCAGAAGTTTCAGGAAGGGTGATGCTGATGTCTGCTTTTGATAAACTATGACAATGTGAACTGTGTGCTTTGAGCTCCATTGCAGCCACTGGACTTGGAACACAGATGATGACTGACGTTTGTGATTGTTTTAATATGTTTTTTTTCCAAATTGTAACGTCTTAGACCTAGCTTGTGGCAAAGCTTTGATGGAAAGCTTGCAGATTGGTTTTTTTTTCCATTTGAATGATGGTGTAAGGAATGTTGTGCCTTGAACATGGAGTTGATAAGTTGGTCTGTATCAAACAGTGAAACTGAATTACAATCCAGTGCTATTTAAATTCTGTCTTTGTAGTAGCACCATACCACAGCAGCTATTAGCAGCTGTCTAGAGCATTCCTGTAAACAGTTCCTTTGCTACACTGGGAATTTCTTGCCAATTTAGTTGAAGGAGGAATTAGATTTGGCTGGCTCCACAGGGAGGGGGGAAGCTTGAAACATAAAATTTTAAAACTTATTTCAAGACAGATAGCATGAAGTTTTCTTGTGCTTCTTTTCAGGAATGTCACCAGAGACAGCTGCTGACACTGCGTTAGACTACATGAAGACACGGGTTGGGGGCTTGGGTGGTGTCATTGTTGTTAACAATTCGGGAGAGTGGGCAGCAAGATTCTCCACCAGGCAGATGTCCTGGGCTACTGTAAAGGATGACCAGCTGCATTATGGGATTTATGCTGGAGAGAGACATACAAAATCTGTTGATGAAGCACTTGCATCTGAATGTGAGGGATTCTGAGAATGAGGAAACATTGACTGAGGAGGAATTAAGTTCTCCAATTTTTGCTGGAGGACAATGACATCTTTCTGAAAGATATGTGCTCTTTTGGTTTGTTCACAGGCACTGCCACACTTACAGTCAAAATTAAATATGGACCTAGTTCTTCAGTGATCATGGATATAGGTATAGTGTTCATTAATACCTTTGGGAAGTCAGGAGATCCTCCTTTTCTGGATAAGACAGAGGATGGTCAGAGGTTTCTTGGTTAGCAAGCCTTATTCATCCATTAAAAGGAGGCCGAGTTTCAGTATTAGAAGAACTCCTTTCCATGCTCATTCTTGGAGACTGCTACCAGGATGGTTTGAGAGATGAATACCTGTTAACTAAAAACTGAACTTCAAAAATTGTATTGCTCTCCAGAATCCTTTGAGCAGTCATCCCATGATAACAAAGAGCTGTCTGTGAAACACCACCAAACAGCAGCAGAGAGTTGAGACTGTGCCATTGTCACACGCTTGAGGTAACTGCTGGGGGGAATAATAGTGAGATAAGGAAAGTAACTTTTCTGTACAGATGAGAAAGGTGATGCTTTCTAAGAAGTCCTATTTTATTCTATTCATTGGCATCAGACCTAGAATTAAAAAGTGGAGACCGCAAGAAAGTAGGGCACAGTATTTCAAATTATTTGTGGATAGTTCACAGGAAAGGTGAACTATCTGGTTAAAATCTGGGGTAGTAATAAAGAAGGTCATGATTTCCATAAATACAAGCAAAGCAGAAATCTTTACTGCTCAAATGCAAAGGTGATGGACACCTTTTAAGACTAAACGTGAGACGTAGAGATGATGATTAACTGGAAAAATACCTAAAATCAAGTGATAAAAGCAAACTGTAGTAAAATAAAATTGCCTCTTAACAAGCTTCTTGTGTGAAGTCTGAAATGTTTTCTGGAGAGTTATTCTTTTTAAAAAAGAATTCATGTTTGGCATTACCTCTAATGCAGTTTCTTCATTAAAATTTTGTGTTTGCAAAAGCAAAATTTCTTTTTCCTATTTTCTGACTTGGCTACATATTTTTTGCATTAAAACTGTGTAATGATTTTATGGATTTTAGCTGGTGACTCGGTTTCCTTTGTGGATGGATTTGTAGGTTATAATTGCATGCTATCATACTGTGGAATGTTTCCTTTACAAGATAACTCAAATAAACATAGCAAAAATCTTCAATCATAGTTTGAAACTACTCATACCTGTGTCCCCACTACAATAAGCCGTGTTACTGAGTTGGCTCATACAGAATGGTAAGGTTGCCAAAGGGTGTGTAACCTGCTCTCTACTTTGATCTGTGGTTTATTAGATGTTGCAGATGACTGGATGTGGACAGCGATGGTTCAAGAGTAGATGATATCACAAAACCTAACTATAGAGTACCTGTGTACTTTATTCCACGGGGTATCATGTAGAAAACAGGAGCTTGAATGAGATAACCTGTCAAGGTCCCATCCAACCCAAACCATTCTGTAATTCTATGAAACTGGCTACTGCCTGACCATGAGAAGTTCATGGAACAGTGACAGTATTTAAGATGTGCTCATCTGTGCAGAGGAGTGGTCGTCTTCCAAGTGAAAATTCACTTATTTCCCCTTCTGTGCATGAGATGCCAATCTTACAGGGATGGACAGATCTCAGGGGGAAGGGGGGGAAGCAGTGTTGTCTTAGTTTCATTTCTAGAATATCAAGGCAATCCAGATTCCTATGGTCAAGATTCTGCTTTGTTTTCACATTCCCCTAGTGCAATATCAAATTCAGGACAGGCAATAGAAAATACAATCCCCACGAGTTCTGCCAAATTCCACTTAGCAGCATCATTTTTGTGAAACTGCTCAATTATTTTTTTTAAATTTATTTTTAATGAACAAGAAACAAACTTGAAGGGTGCATATTAGAGCTAAATGGTGATACATAGGCATGGATGTAGGCTGTATGCAAGAGAAGATGAATATGAATACCTTGTCTTACATCTGCTTTATCAGATTAAAGGCTGTAGGGGGCATGTTCCTAGTAACCATTCCTTTGCTTGAAGTAGCTGGAAGGAGGAATATTTAAACCCCTGTTTACTGCAACACCTGGAATATCACCTTTGTCAAGCTCTGGCTTTGTTATGTTCTCTTGAGTGGCTGCAGGTCAGGTGTGGTTACATTCCAATGTGACCAAACCCCCAGTGATGGTGAGTGTGGCAGTGAGCATAAGCCAATACACCCGCTAGGTGGTTTATTGGGTAAGGTTTGGCACTGTGCTAGCCTGGACGGTTGGCTTTTGGGTAGCTTTGGGTGTGTTTGCATCTGCCCAGAAGGTACCATCAACCACAGCAGCAGCACAGATATGATCTTGGGGTTGTCAGAAGGAATACTGAATGGTTACTGTGGTTAATTCACCTCAGCTGTTCTCAGGAATATAGTGTAATGAACTGCTGGCACTTAACAAAGAGTATTATCCTATGTAGGTTCTTCTGTTGCCCATCACCAGGCTAGCTGGGCACCTTCCAGCAGCGTATTAAGCAGTGTGACTACCATCTAGTCTGCGTGATTTGTTCTGTCTCACCCGCTCCTCTATATCCTTGTCTTGTGAAAAAGGATCAGGTTTTCAAAACCACGCGTGTGCTGTTTGGCCTTTCCAGTTGAAGCAGAGCTGAGAACGATGAGCTGCGCCTTGCATACAGATTGACGAGGCTTGGACTGGTGACATCTGATAGCCTGAGGCCGTGTGGAGTTTGCTCTGCAGGTCAAATGGTGGCAGCTCAGGCAAAGCACTGGCACCAGCGGTCAGGGCCCTGTGCTCTTCCGCCAGCTCGCAGACAAGTCAGTGCCCCTCAGAAACATGCTCCATTTCCTCACTTCATCTGGACGGTAGGCAGACCTCTTTTAGGACAGTGTTCTTCTTTTGCCTAAGAAGGTGGGATGATAGCAAATGGTCAGGGATAGGGAAGGCCTAACTTTCAAAGAATTTGGAGAGCTGGGAATGAAATAGTTGTTTTCCTTCTCTCTCTTTTTACCATTTCAGTCATGTTCTTCAGCTAGAACACTGTTGCTGATGATGTAAGAAGTTGCTGGTGCTGCACAGGGCTACTTAGGATTTTAAATATGCTTATGTGTCCCCTGACCTTTGAGAATATTGAGAAATTACCCTTATAAGGGATTTAATTCAACAGCTTTTATAATTATAAATGTGGTTGAAAGACACTAAACTTCAGGGAGATACTGACGGCAGGCTGGGAAGTTGTGTGCTGCTGCTATGCACTGCTGCTGGAAATGAACCTCTAATCCAAATGGCTGTGACCTGGATATCAAAGAAAGAAAATTAGGGGTCTGTTGCCAAGAAACTGAGTGTCCTTGGCATGTAGCAAAGCAGCAATAGAGTTTAATTATCTCATTAAAGTGTGGCATCCTGTTATTTTATATCATTTAGAAAGCCAGCTGTGAATGTTGCCCTGTTTCTTTCTTGCTACTGTGTAGAAAGAGTCCCTGACCGGAGCAGGTAGCCACCATGGGCATGCAAATCAAAGCCAAGGTGTTTGCAAACCTGTCAGAGTGGCAGCCATTGACTTTGCTCATCTATTGTTAGTTCTGTGCAGGTTTTCTGTCTTAATCTTTGCAAGTTAAGTAATTAAAGTTGGTTTGTAGAAATTTGGGGTTATTTTTCTCCATGTTGTACTTTGTCCTACATTTTAGCTCTGTGTCTCTGGGGTGGTTTTCACTGACTTTGAAATCTATCTTGGCAAAGTTTAATGGCATTCCCTGTTTTGCTTGTTTCTCTTTTGGTTCACTTTTCCTTTGATATGCTCTAATAAATATTTGCTGTGGGACAGATTTCAATCTGGGTTACGTCAGTATAAATGAGAAGCACAGTCACTGAAGTCTGCGATTACACTGGAGGAAGTGAAATCAGACATGGTCTCGCCTGTCCGAAGCTGGTAGCTCCATGTGTCCTGAGACAGCCTTTGGGGAGAGCAGGGAGAGAAGGGAGAGAGAGCCTGCTGCGAGGAGTCCCTGCGTAAGCCGGGGCACTGGCCTCAGCAGTGTCAGCGTGAAGATGATGCCCAGGGAAGTAAAGATGCACACTGGGAAGTAAATGTGTCAAACAGTCCACGTAAAAGAATCTTCAGATCCCACAGACAGGGTGAGCAAAGAGTCATCTTGGTTTAGATGTGCACACCACGAGGGAAGGGAGTCTCGTTTTCCCTCCCTGCTGCGCTCTTTACGCTCAGTTTATTGGAGGCACATAGATAACCCTGCAACCTTTGTGTAAATGAACTTTGCCAGACCTGGTCACATGTGCTTTAACTTCAATTTATTTTAACATTCTTGCCTTTTGGCCCTTAAATTCCTCTTGGTTGGAATGAGACTTGTTTTCTTGAGGTTCCTCCCCAAGTCCTTTTCCGCTGAGGGCAGGATAGGTTATGGTGCGGTCTGCGTGGGCTTTAGCCCTCCAGCTCTGCACTTTTGACCCTTAACTGCTAAGGCTTTACTACAACTTAAGCTATGTAAATGCAGGGTAGCACTCAGCTTATTAAATACTCAGCTGCTCCCAGACTTGGTGGCTGTGTCCGGTCCTGCCTGCGTAGCAGCACAGCAGGCTGCATGCTCGGCAGCCCAGGCCGCCTGAGTGCATCACCCCGGGCTCCCCTTTGCCTGCTGCCTCCCCGTGGAGCACAGCGGGTACCTCCAGCTTTTTCTGATGGTACACAAACCCATGTGTACCTCCAGGTGTAGCTACCACTGGCCAGCCACAGCCTGTGCGAACAGCTGTGTTAGAACTCCACCACAAGGGCTGACAAAAACCAGGGCTGTTAGAGGTACTGGGCTCATTTCTGCAAGTGCTAATGATTGTAAAACACCTACCAGTAAACATAGAACCTGTTGGTTTAGCACTTGCTTTTCTCTAGTAGTTTCTGAAAGACCTCTTAGAAGTAGTTTCTAGAATAATTAACAAACTGCTTCTCTTTGTGGCAGGGAAAGTGCA